GATCTACAGCTACTCAAAAATCACATTTTTTCAAATTCAGGTGGCTGTTGTAGCCAAACAGTTGGAAATCGAGGAAAACGGCTTACAGTCCCTATCCTAACTTTTTAAGGTCTATTCAGTGACATAAAATACATATTATTTGATACAGGGTGATCAAAAATCCAAAATCACATCCGATTTTTGATCACCCTGTATCAACTAATATTTTTTGCCACTGAATAGACCTTCAAAAGTAAGGATAGGGACATGTAAGCCGTGTTCCTCGATTTCCAACTTTTTGGCTACAACAGCCAAAATTGAAAATTAACCTAAACTGCACGAATATCTTTGGATGATGTTTTCTCGGAAACGGCTGCTCCAATCGAGATCAAACAAGTATTCCTTTTTGACGTAGTTTTCAATGTAGAATGTAAAAAAAAATATGGATAAGTCATTACCAAAAACACAAAAAAGATGAATAATCAAAATTTTCAAAAAATTCCCAAGTACACCCCTGACGAAATAATTTCTTTTTGAAGGTGTCAAAAGGTCACTATTATTGATCATATTTAACAGCCAAAATTTGGTTCTTTTATTTGTTTCCATTTTTAAGAAAATTCAAAAAATCAAAATAAAAAAAATGATTTCGAGAGGCTGTTGCTCGCTTAGGGGACACTTTAGGACATAGGTCTATAGGAACTTTTTTTCCATTTTTTGGTTAAGGAATCTGCCTGAGAATTTTGGGACACATTTTAAAGGACACCCTGTATATGGCTTACGACCATATTAAAATATTTAGAAACTACTTATAAAATTGTTGTTTAACAGTCTTATAATTATTTTATAATACACAGAATTGATTTATTCGCAACATTTAGATTTTATGCAACACAATATAGTTTTACAGTTATGTAAATTAAAATTAAATTGTGGTGACAAAGACAAAACAGATTTTTAAGATGCTCAGAATAAACAAATATATAATGGCGATAGTTTTCATGTAATAAACTATATGCATATTATTTTCACTGTTTATCCAGTAATTTCTTCTGTCATACAAATTTTACTGACATTATATATGCCTAATTATGGAAAAATTTTCACGGGCCCTAAATTTAATTAGTTGTTATTAAAAAAATTACTTTAATAATTTAATTAATGTTTCAAAAATTTACCTAAATTAGTAAATATGGATAATGTGTCTATTGTACAAAGTATTTGCTTATTTTCGATATCTGAACAAACTAGTGTAAACATTTATTAATAATTTTGAAATAGTTTACATATAAAAACATGGTAGACATTATATTTACTGTTTGATAAAGGTATCCAAGATGGAGTCAATCAATAAGTCAGTTTTGTTGTTTCGGAAACAATTATGTAACTAAACTATCGTGTAGTTGTTTCTAATAAAGCAATTATATTTCTAAATTGTTATATAATGCTTATTTTTAAGACACATTCGTTTTAGATACTTTCTCTTTTAATATGTTTTAATTTTGTAAGAGATTTATAAATGTTTCAATATGTCCTCTTTTGCAACAGTTATAAAACTGTTATTTAAAAGTATACATAAATATCAAATTATCGCTGAGTATAATTTATTATATTAGAGAGTTATATAATTACATATAAAATTTCATTATAAGCGTGTAATAAAAATTGTAAGTGTTTTATACGTATCTGGAATATAAGTATAAAACACTTATAAAATATATTACACTTAAGCAAGAATAATCATATAAGGAGTGTTATATAAATATTTATGTCATTACATTGTTCTGTTTTTAAACAGGATTTAAAAGTAGTCTTATAATTATCTATATAACAAAATAATAAAATATATTACTCTCTGAGACATATTTATCTCTTAGGCAACAGTTATATGTTAAATTAGTGACTATTGTAGCATTTATACGATAAATATAAAATAATTTTCTTTTATAATCATGTCTCCGTGCTGCTTGGGATTCCTAACAATTAATAAGTTATTTTAATAGGTTTAACAGAAATATGGAGTAAATAAAGTTTTAAGTATGTTATATATCACATTATAGAGTACCGTGATCATATTTCTTATATTAGGTAATAAAAAAAAAGGAATTACCTCTTTCATTTGACGAACAATGTGTACATAACTGAAGACTATCACTCCCAGTGGTATAACCAGTCCAAAAATAAATAGGTAGATAATATAGGTCATCGCGTTGTAAGAATGCTCTTCCCAGTTCACCGAACAACTAAAAAATAAAGTAAAAAAAGATAAGGGCATAATTTAAAATTAATACTTAAATGCTACAGTTCGAATACATGACAAAAATGGTAACACTTAAACGGTTGATATAAATACGGGTGAACTACAAGGAGCGCCTATGAGTCCACTACTTTTGAATTATTTATAACAAATCTAGAACTTTTTTTATATGAAAAGGTTAAATTAAAAATGTAAAAAATTTCAAATTTACAACCCACGGTTAGTATTTGTTAATAATATTTAGTATTTGTTAGTGTTTGTTAGTATTTGTTAGTGTTTGTTAGTATTTGTTAGTGTTTGTTAGTATTTGTTAATATTTGTTAGTGTTTGTTAGTATTTGTTAATATTTGTTAATATTTGTTAATATTTGTTAGTATTTGTTAGTATTTGTTAGTATTTGTTAGTATTTGTTAGTATTTGTTAGTATTTGTTAGTATTTGTTAGTATTTGTTTATATTTGTTAGTATTTGTTAGTATTTGTTAGTATTTGTTAGTATTTGTTAGTATTTGTTAGTATTTGTTAGTATTTGTTAGTATTTGTTAGTATTTGTTAGTATTTGTTAGTATTTGTTAGTATTTGTTAGTATTTGTTAGTATTTGTTAGTATTTGTTAGTATTTGTTAGTATTTGTTAGTATTTGTTAGTATTTGTTAGTATTTGTTAGTATTTGTTAGTATTTGTTAGTATTTGTTAGTATTTGTTAGTATTTGTTAGTATTTGTTAGTATTTGTTAGTATTTGTTAGTATTTGTTAGTATTTGTTAGTATTTATTTGTTAGTATTTATTTGTTAGTATTTGTTAGTATTTTTAAGGTGAAGGGGGAGAAAAAGTCCTTTATATCTCACAAGGAAAGTCAATGTTTAATTATTTAACAAAACATTGAGTGCGACCGGTTTCGAAGTGTCATCACTTCATCTTCAGGCTCGCCTAGTGGAAAGGAGAATATGTGGTGTAAGGTGTGTTAACACTTAGAGCAAACGATATATAAATTAGTAAAAAAGAGAAAACTCACCATACTCTCCATCCACTAGGGAATACTACAAAACAAGTTTCATCAAATGTGGGGTGAAATAAATTGTAAAATGAACAAAGTTTACAAGTAATAAAAAGTTAAAAATATTTGAAAAACAAATATTAGTCAATTGAAATAGTAAAATTTAAAATATTCAAGAATATACTAAACAAATGACATACATTAAACAGATTAAAAGATAAGGCTTATTTTAAACAACCTTGTTTTTTCAAAAAACTAACATTTTTGAAAGGAGACCTGTCAAGTTAAGGCCTCTACAAGTGGTGGCAAGTATTAACAAAAAAATTCTTGGGTAAACCCATGACAGGGTATAGGTAATAAGATGTAAACTATGAGTGAAGAAATATTTATTATTTATTATATAAGATTTGGGCCATGAACCAATCACCAAGTGTATGTGATGTTGTAGGAAGAAGAAAGAAGAAGAAATGACTGGGTTAACTGTTGTGAAGCAACTGAAGAATAAAAGAAGAAAATGACGGATGTGAAATCACACAATCTAACCTAATCTTTAAACGTGCTCGTTGGTTTCTTCTTCTTTCTTCTTCCTACAACATCACATACACTTGGTGATTGGTTCATGGCCCAAATCTTATATAATAAATAATAAATATTTCTTCACTCATAGTTTACATCTTATTACCTATACCCTGTCATGGGTTTACCCAAGAATTTTTTTGTTAATACTTGCCACCACCTGTAGAGGCCTTAACTTGACAGGTCTCCTTTCAAAAATGTTAGTTTTTTGAAAAAACAAGGTTGTTTAAAATAAGCCTTATCTTTTAATCTGTTTAATGTATGTGATTTGTTTTGTATATTCTTGAATATTTTAAATTTTACTATTTCAATTGACTAATATTTGTTTTTCAAATATTTTTAACTTTTTATTACTTGTAAACTTTGTTCATTTTACAATTTATTTCACCCCACATTTGATGAAACTTGTTTTGTAGTATTCCCTAGTGGATGGAGAGTATGGAGAGTATGGTGAGTTTTCTCTTTTTTACTAATTTATATATCGTTTGCTCTAAGTGTTAACACACCATACACCACATATTCTCCTTTCCACTAGGCGAGCCTGAAGATGCAGTGATGACACTTCGAAACCGGTCGCACTCAATATTTTGTTAAATAATTAAACATTGACTTTCCTTGTGAGATATAAAGGACTTTTTCTCCCCCTTCGCCTTAAAATTACCTCAACTCACACATGGCTACCCCCCTTGTCAATGTTAGTATTTATTTGTCAGTATTTGTCAGTATTTGTCAGTATTTGTCAGTATTTGTCAGTATTTGTCAGTATTTGTCAGTATTTGTCAGTATTTGTCAGTATTTGTCAGTATTTGTCAGTATTTGTCAGTATTTGTCAGTATTTGTCAGTATTTGTTAGTGTTTGTTAGTATTTCTTAGTATTTCTTAGTATTTGTTAGTATTTCTTCTTGAAGAACGATTTAAGATCATTCGTAACACTGTGAGACACTATTTCCGACACTTCACTCGTTATTGCATTATGCGCACACTGATCTGCTGGTTCGTTGCCTTCAATTCCGATATGGGAGGGTATCCATATGATGTGTATGCATCTTGAGTGTTCTTGAGCCTGCAGTAGTTCTGTACTGACTTAGATGTGATGTGTCAGCATCTGATTCCGAGACGTCATTGCCAAGATAGGCAAAGATTTTTTGTTTCAAAGTTGTGAATTTTTTCTTCAGGGATGAATCTTTTATATCATAACTAAAGTATATTCTTGATAGGATCTGAAGAACTAGTTACATTAGTTAAAAGTAACTGAAGTTGGTCATAATTAAGTATAAAAGGAGTGGTTAATGATAAAGTCTTTGGCTGGCTCCAGTCGATGTAGATTGGTATTACTCGAGGCAACTGTTGAAGGTGAAGAGTTGGACTTTGTTTTTTAGATTTAGGTTTTATCTTAGGAAGGGTGAAGATGCTGTTTTCCTTGTCAATTACATCCGTGTCTGGTAAAAGAATTTCGTTGATGCTGCGCTTTGAGTGACCCGAGTCTTTTAATGGTGGACTTTGCTCCTTAGGTAAGGGTTGAGTGATGGCTTCTTGTGTTGAGTTTTCTGCGGTTGCTGATTGCTGTATATTCGCTGAAACGGTCGTTGATTGAATAGATAAGGGTAGGATATTGGTTTGCGGTGTTATAGTGTGAAAAGGTATCTTTATATTAGCCGAGACAATCGGCATACTGGATACAGACGGTACAGTTGGAGTAGTAGTTTGTGGTATTGTGTTTGTTTGAGTGGATGGCGATGCATTTGTAGATTCGGGAAACTGGGATACGATATGTCCAGGTTTTTTACAATTGTAGCAAACCATACCATCTTGAGACAGAAATATTCGATATGTGGTGTCATCAAAGTCCAGTGTGAATGAATCAGGTAGAGAAAAATTATGTGGACTCACGTAGACTTGTCTTCTTAAACTCCGTATGTGACTATATTCAGGTAGAGAAGAGCTAATTTTTAAAAAAGTTACAGGTGAAACTAAATTTAAACCAACTTTCTGTAATTCTTCTATTATTAAATTGTGCAAATATTTGACAGAACGAGTGTTATAAGTCTTCTGGCTCTATTTCACCTTTTATCTCAATATAACCGCCATTATCCATTAATTCGTCAACAATCTGCTTGTTTGTCAGGTACATACAAATCCGGTTGTTGGATAATCGCGAAGAGAATGTGATATTCTTTGGTTAGATTTGGGATCCAAGGGGAATTAGGTAATCTTGCAGCCGAGTATTGTCTAGAGAACTAAAAACAATTGCTTGTTCTTTGGACGGGAATTGAGTCTGTGACACAGCTGAAGAATAAGTTTTTGAAACATTAGATTGACTTTGAGTTTGGGAAGATATTTGAGAATTACTGTTAGATTCCATATTAATTTAAGGATTTAAGGTACCCACTGAATTGGATACGCCCCTGGCAGTCCGTAGATACGGCTGGCATGTGGCCGGCACCACGAAAGAAACTGCTTGCTGATAACGACTATGTTATTATTTGTAAATTTAATTAATGGCTAAACTGAATTAGAAATTAATCACAATATGCACTTACAGCTTTATGAATGTACACACGTAATTTCAACAAAAAAGACTCTCTATATCCGCACTAAATAACTAAAAATATGTGGAGACCACGATAAATATTGTTTCCATATTTTTAGTCAAGGTCGAACTCAACTGATATTTTTATTATCTTACATTTATTTCTTACTATAATTTCTTACTTTTATTTCTTACTATAATTTTTACTATAATTTCTTACCATTAACTTTTACTAATATTTTTATTATATTACAATTATTTCTTACTTTTATTTTGTATTATAATTTCTTACTTTTATTTCTTACTATAATTTTCTACTATTATTTCTTACTATTAATATTTACTAATATTTAATTTCTTACTATTATTTCTTACGATTATTATTTATTATTATTTCTTACTATTAATTTTTACTAATATTTTTATTATCTTACATTTATTTCTTACTATAATTTCTTACTTTTATTTCTTATTGTAATTTCTTACTATAATTTTCTATTATTTCATACTATTATTATTTACTAATATTTAATATCTTACTATTATTTCTTATTATATGTTAGCATTTGTTAATATTTTCTATCATTCTGTTTAAAATTGTTACTAACCTGATATTAGCAGCTTCTGCAACAAATTTCCCCCATCCGATGAGTGGCGGTACTGTAAGAGCTAAAGAATATAACCATATTCCTATCACAAATAGCATGGCTTCTTTTCTACTAAGTCCGTGGTTTCTGAAGGGTCTCGATACTATTAGATACCTCTCAAACGCTAATACCGTCAAAGTTGTTATCGATGATATGCCTGTAACAGAATAGACTAATTTTAGCTGCAGAAGACAAATAATTATTCATGATAAGAAAACAATAACGGGTTTGGTTTGGTGTGAAGAGTATTGTAAAATATTGTGGTACTATGTCAATACTATGCCAATTGAAGAACTAAACTATTTACCACACCAACTTGGTACTTGTAACGAGAATAATACATTATGGTAGACACTGCACTGATAGAACTTAGTCAGTAGGTTCTAAATTTGAATTTAAATTAGCTTATTGATTGTAGATTTAAAAGAGTATCATTATTTAGTTACTAAGATCATAGGGGAGATTAAATAGAGTAGCTTGAGCTCTCTAAATACCTCTGTTGTGAATTATGTTACAAATAAAGGCACTAGTGAAGTAAAGTAAATTGTAATTTAATAAACATGAAATTTGCCCTAAAATACAATGGTTTCTATTGCAAGATGAGTCTTGGTCTCAATTTTACTTCACTATAATGGAAATTTGTAACCTAATTTTAGAACCCTGGTGAAATGTTTTAAACCAGACATAGCGTAACAGATATAGTAGCGTAACAGATACTTTTATATTTTTATAAAGTGGCTTTAAATTACTTCAAACATTTCTATTTTTCAAGCACACTTATTATTCTCCCTTTTCGCATTTTACAGATGATGGGTTAGAGATTGAATTTCAAATGCCAATCACATCAACAAATTTCCACGGTTAGGCAAATATTAAATCCATAAATAATACGTTAGGACCAGGCAGCCGGCTTATGGAGAAATGTGTTCTGGTTAATATGCCTGAATTTTTAGTATGTTGAAGATATCGATTTCCTGAACAATACAGTTCATCAAATTTCTAGAGGCTTTCGACGGCTAGAAAGAGAAAGCACTACTGAGAGGCATCGGTTGGCGGGGCCGACGGATTTACGCAATGAAAGTACACTCTGCGCATCAAGTATTTCACTATTTTATTCAGACGTAAATGTCAGATGTAAATTTCGCTAAAACATTTCTTTTATTTTCGTTTGTGTTTTTTGCTCATTACAGTTTAATAGAACCTAAGTATGGAGTTTAATAGCAAATTAAGAGGCCGCGTGATTAACAGTCAATCTCGCGAAATAATAGCCAATGTTATAGAGTTTATGAGAAGAGAAGGAAACTTTAATTCACCTTCAATACCATTTAAAAATGTAAATGATCGTGTTGCTGCAGCCACAGGAGTATCTAAAAACACTGTCGTCCGCATTTCTGGAGAGAAAAAAAGAATCGATAACCGTGAGATATCGGAATTTTCATCACCAAGAAAAACCATTAAAAAACCAAAAACAGTTAATGATATAGATGAAGCTGACAAAGGTATTTTAAAAAGAATTATTCTGTTCATGTTAATCTCGGAAAATATTGTTCAACATTAAAAACAATTCTGACTAAATTTAGAGAAGCTACAGGGTACAAAGGAAGCTATGAAAGTTTAAGAAAAATAATAAAGTCGCTAGGATTTCGTTGGCGGAAAACAAAAACAAACAGAAAAATATTAATGGAAAGGTTTGATATTCAAAAGCTACGTTTAGTACTATCTGATTCGTTTAAAAAGTTATCGAGCAGAGGGCCGTCCAATTGTCTACTTAGATGAAACATACATTCATGCCTCCCACACACACCAGAAAGCTTGGAGTGATAATTCAAATGAGGGATTAAAGAAACCAATTAATAAAGGTGATAGACTAATTATTGTCCATGCAGGAGGTGAAATGGGCTTTATTCCGAATGCCCGGTTAATTTTCAAATCTGGAACCAAAAGTGGAGACTACCACGATGAAATGAATTTTAATAATGTTTCTAAATGGTTGAAAGAAAAGCTGTTTCCGAACCTCCCTCCAAGAAGCGTCATTATTGTTGATAATGCTCCTTACCATAATGTCCAGGTAAATAAAGCACCAACGTCAACTTCTAAAAAAGCTGACATGCAGGATTGGTTAAGGAATCATAATATTGCTTACGAAGAGGATATGCTCAAAACGCAATTATATAGTTTAGTGCTATTGCATAAGTCACGATTTAAGAGGTATGCAATTGAAGAAATGATAAATGAACATGGTTTTAGTTGTTTGCGTTTGCCACCGTATCATCCCGATCTTAATCCGATCGAATTAGTGTGGGCATCATTGAAACAATATGTAGCTAGTAACAACACTACATTTAAGAGGCAAGACGTACAACTGTTGTGTGAAGACTTTTTTGATACGTTTTCTAAAGAGGAGTGGCAATCTCGTTGTAATAATGCTAAAATGTGGAAATCTAAATTTTATGACAGAGAAGTTACTTTGGATTAGACAACTGATAGATTTATAATTAACTTAAACAGTGACAGTGAGATTGATTTTGAATCTGATATGGAAACTGAAGAAAGTTTTTCGGAAGACCATTAAAATTATATCTGTACCTAAGATCAAAAAAGTATTATCTATTTTTACAACGAAGATGCACAAGAATCAAATTTTATTTTTTTATTATTAGATAGCTATTTTTGTTTCTGAGTTGTGTTCATTTACAGGCTCAATTTTTTTCCGTTTCTCCTTTTTGATTTTATATGGGGTTTCAAGTTGTTTTTGACTTATTTCGACGTAAATCACAACAACACACTTTTTTAATAAAGCAAACAAGTGTTAAGAGGTATATGTACGTGTAAACTACAATTACAAAAAATTGATATGAAACCCTTGAAACCACCAACAAAAATGTAAAGCTAGCTTCCGTACTAGAACATGGTGTCATTCGTCGAGATAATTTATCGTTTTGTTTAATAGATCAAGAAATGTAAATATTCCCCTGTTATTTTTTATAAAATTATAAGAGAAATAAATTTTTTTCTAAATAGTATAGTTTATTATTTTGTAGAAAAACAAAATTTAGAAAATTTTAGTAATGTTTCAGAAACAACCGTTATTAATAATAGGTACCATTTTCCTTAATAAGGTAGAAATAAAATATAAACTATTTCCACGATTTACAAAGGCCTACAAAAAAATTATAGGTATTTTCCGCTATCCTATAAAATTTATATTTTCTGACTCAATTTCAAAAGGTTGAAGGAATTCCAAAACACTTTTTATGGCATAATAATTATTTTCAATTCTACATACTATCTTTAGCTGCTTTTAAAAGCGTTCTAAGAAAGTCCAATCAGACCAATTTAATCCCTAAACTATTCCACACTTTTAAAATTTAATTACCTAAAAATATTAAAAACTATTTAAAATAACTTGTTTAGCAGACTGTACAATAGCTATCTTAGTCACACGTAGCGCGTTCTCTGTCTGGGCGTCGAACACCTCTAGAAATTTGATGAACTGTAATGTCCATGGGCACAACTCAATCAAATGGCCAGTTTTCAACATACAGGGTGATGAAGTTGAAAAATGGTCATTTTTTAAAACGTATTAAAATGTAATTTTCTCAATATATTAATAATTTTTTGCTGTAATAGTATTCTAATAACATAAAATAATATTGCTTTGTGTAGAAAATGTATTATTTGATACCCAAAAAAACTTATTGATGCTGTGTATTCTACTTTACAGTGGGAATATGAAAATATTAATATTTGGTCTGAATTAACTTTAGTTGGACTTATTATAAGAAGGTATAAAAACATTTTATACAGGGTGAGTCAAAAAGTTGATCGACTCTGCAGGTTACTTTTAATACAATTTTATATATTTTGTAATACAAGTCAATAGTCGACATTGAACCATTTTCAAAAATATATCATTTATAAATATAAATACAGGGTGATTCAAAAGGTATATAAGGTAGAAAATTACGAAAATTGCTTTTTTCTGCGAATCACCTTGTAATTTAATATATTTTCGCATTTTATCGTTGCAATATTTATACAAAAAGCTTACCTGTCGATAAAAGAAAACACAAGATTGTTCAAATTATGTATATTAATTTTCTATAACCTGTACCTGAATGTAAACAGTTTGACATCAATTGTCGACCTTAACCTTCCTTCTTCTCTTTTATGAATCTAATGGCAATTGTTAAATTCCAAATTACTTCTTCTTTGCTCTTTCTACATTCAGTTTCATTTATTCAAATTTAAGTTCAAGGCCAAGGTCATTTGGTTTTAAATATGGTAATTTGTTGGCAACCCTAGATTGTCTTTCTGGCTGAAGAACTTCCTTCCTCTTCTGTCCTTTTTCAATTAGCTGTCTTTGGTCCATGTGGTACATGAATTCACGAATTTTATTCGGATTATTTGGCTAATAATATAAAGAGAAAGTTTACCTTTAAAGTATATTTGTCATTATTGACAGCACCTTGTTGTGGAAATAATACTTTTCTTCCAAAGGCCACCTAACATCTACAGCCTTCTTGTTTGTATCCATTCTGTAGAGCTTCTTTTGCCACTCCTATAGCATTTAGTAGCTATTATTTAATTTGGAGGAAGTAACCCGTACTATAGTTCACTGCTTCCTGTTTCGCTTGTTGGCCCAGCCCTTGGTAACCGATCGATAACTCTGACGAGAACAACCCCTAGATGGTAGATCATCTGGAAACCACAGAACAAGTAAGAACGTTCCATTGCCTACTTAATTGCCTGAGCTCTATTTTAGCCACCCTTAGCTTCCTTGTATATATATTATTGCTAAAAACATTACCGGGCATCACCTTTCTGTACATATATTTAATAACATCATTGTCATAGTATCATCTTGTATATATATAAATCATAGCCTTTAGTATTATTACCTTATTACATTAAAAGCTGTTTCGCGTTCTATCGAATAGTTTTAGTTTAGAAAATCTAAGTGGGTATTTCATTTTATCTACCCTTACTTTTGTTGTTTGTTTTGGCATAGATTATTTAGTTTCTCATAGAGTCTAAAATAAAATATATATTAGATAAATAACGTAAGTGTATTGTATATAGTATAATAAGATTTAGGAATCTTTTCAGTATTATTAAATTTATGCTCTTATACATTTCGTACTTACCTTGTGATCGATTGGTACCAAATTGGCAATGAAGT